TGAGCCAGCTACTACGTGGAACATCGAGGCCACCGGACTTAACCCCCTCATGCCCAGAGGTACACCCCGCCCTCCATGGTGAGGGGCATGGAGTGTCTGGGGCTCTCTTCCTGGCTGCCCTTTGCTTCCTGCGTTGGGATGCAGCTGCCTCTCAGCCTCCTTTGCGGGCTTTATTTTGGGGGGAGGGAGGAGCAGTGTGTGTGTCTAGAGCCCCAAGTTTGCACCCGAGAGGGAGACGGTCCCAGAACTTATTTGTTTGCTTAAGTCTGAGTCTCCACACAGCCCCCCCTCGGCAGGGCGCCCTGGCCCGGGGAGGGAGGAAGCACGGCTGGACAGCCGGATGCATCTCCTGCGGTCCGTCGGTGAGCGCTTTAATGGGGCGCTTGTGTGGCGCCAAGAGCCGCCCTGGTGTCTGGTTTCCCCTTCTGGCCTTGGAGTCCAGAGCCCACCCTAAGGGGATGGAGGCTCCTTCCCACCCTGGGCTTGCTCACCTCAGACCCCTCTTCACACCCGTTTGCAATTCTGTCCCTTGCACCCTATTTTTCTAGGGTTGAAATGTGGGCATGAGAGGTGAGTGACCCACAAGACTGGCAAACACACCTGGAGGCCACAGGCCACTGACCAAGCATAATCTCCCCTACTGCCACCACTGCCCTCCTTAATCTCCCTCAAATCTTCCCATCCTGTCACCACCCCCTCGTGGTCGGGTTCCGCCCCTGGGGGGTCTTGGGGTAGCAACCGAGTGGCGCCGAGGTGTACTTGGCAGAGGCCACACCTGGGCAGTGGCCCCAGGATTGCAAGGACGGGTGAAGGGGTTGGAGCCAGGCTGCCAGGCGCTAGGTTATGGGCAGCCTCGCCCCGGGGGACCTGGTCCCTGTGCCTACTTGCCAGCCATGTGTCCAGATTCCTGTGGGCAGAGGAGGACAGAGACAGGCAGGTCACACCCTGGCCCTGGGGTAAGCTCTGGGCTGCCCAGAAGTGGGGGCTGTCTGTTTAGAAA